CAAACAAATGAATAAACAAACAAACAAATAAATAAACAAACAAACAAATGAATAAACAAACAAAAAACAAACAAACAAATAATCAAACAAATGAATAAACAAACAAACAAATAAATAAACAAACAAACAAATGAATAAACAAAAAAACAAACAAACAAATAATCAAAAGTCGCACCGTCGGTTTGTTTGAGGAAAAATGCGAGGGCTGCAGAAAACGCGAAATTTGGCATCGCAATTCGGAGGTCATCGATGATATTAAAATTTTCATCTTGATCTTCATTATCATGTTCATTTACTTTATTTATATCTTTTTCTTTATGTATATCTTCATTTGCTTCTTCTTTATCTTCTGTTTGTCCTCCTTGTATATATGTGCGTTGTTTATTGTGTTTGAGGTTGCGTTGTTGTGTTTGGGTTTGTTTATTTGTTTGATTTGTCGTTTGTTTTCTTTTAAAGTTTGTCGAAGTTTGTAATTCTAAGGGTACAACGTACGTAATATGTTGTCGCGGAAATGTCTGCGAGAAAGTCTGAAGAAACTCAAATTGCTCCGATCGAATAGCAAAATGATCCAGGTGCAGCATTGCATGCGAGTATTCTGCTTCATTCATAATATCTAATGAAATAAGCAGCTTACAGACTTCTAATGCACTACGAAAACAACTCTGTCTCCCGAGCCCAATCATATATATCAATAAACTTGCAAATAAAACTCTATTTAGAGGGTTTCGGCAATCCATACACACCTGTACATACACACAACACGCTTCTACAAATATAGCTTTTCATATCTACTTATTTCTATTTCTTTTTTTATTATTAGTACTATTGCTGTTTTTTATAATTTTGATATTCATCATATTATTTTTTTATTTATTTCTTCATGCTACTGCTATCCCTAATACCCTCTTTATGCAGAAATACTTGTATGTCTCTAGGCATGTCTGTTTGCTTTGATTAATTAACATCAAAACAAATTAATTAATTAATTAATTAATGCTGCGGTGTATGTGCATCTATATCTTTTGCTTACCCTTGGTGTTCCGTCTGGGTTATAGGCGAAGGGTGAGAAAGAGTAATGAAAAGCTGCTTGTAGGCTGGCGACAGCAGCAGAAATTGCATTAAATGAAGCTTCCTGATTATCAACAACAAGAAAAGCCTGAGAAAGAGCGAGAAGCGAGTCGGGGTGATGAGGATAAAGCCTGCAGAACTGCTGCAGCTGCAGCAAGTCGTGGCTGTGTAAAGCAGCATAAAATAAAGGCTGTACACGCATATACTCCTCTGTATACTCCAAAGAAAACTCATAAAAACCTGTAGACTCATCTTTATTTGCAATCATCCGCACCCAAGGATGCACAAACGGGTGTACAGACACCGGAGATACCAACCAGTGGCGGCGAGACCGAGCAGAGCCTGAAAACAAAACAACAAAAGAAATAAAAAATAGAAATAAGTATAAATTAATTAATCATCCATAGGATAATGCAGGAGACAACAACCCCTCTTACGGGTAAAGCAGCAAACACAACACATCCACACAAACAAGTAAAGATATTACAAACACACAACATAAACAAACAAATAAACAGAGCAGCAAGCAGCAATACACTGACCTCGAGGATTAACTCTCACAGTCCTCATTATTTCTCTGCCAAATATTCTCCTTAGGTCTGCCTCAACATCAAAAGCAGCTCTCTCCATGTACAGACAGCTGCGGGTTGATTCAACCGCTCGCGAGACAGAGGCAGAAGAGCACAACTCATTTGCTGCTTCGGCTTCGTTTGCTGAATCCAGAGAAAGAGAAGAAGAAGCAGCTGCTTCCTCAGCAGCAGGTGCTGCTTCTTCATCTTCTGCTGCTGCTGATGATGATTGTGCTGCTGCAGGTGAATTCCTCTTGCGCCTGTTTTTATTTCGAGATCTTCTGCTTCTTGGGTTAACCGATGTGTCTTTAGAATGCTGAGGTGTCTGTACACCTGAAGCGTGAGCGGCGTTCGGCTCAGAAGATGTGGGCGGCGAACTATCAGAGCTTTCGCTTTCCTCGTCTTCTTCTGAACTCGTGAGTTGTGCACTAGCAGCCTGAAGAAAGATTGATTTATTTGTTTTGTTTGATTTTTCATTTAAAGATTGTGTGTCTGAAGACTCATCTAAAGAATCTGAAGAAGAATTTACAGGCAAATTCACAGTCTTTTGCTCGCCCTGCTGCAGAGCCGCTGTTCGCCGCAGGTGGCGTAGCGACATCTTCTGAGGACATCACCTGAGAAATCGAGGGTTTAAACAAAACAAAAAAAGTAAAAAAAGACAAATAAATGAAATTTAGATAATTTTATTCGACTTTCTTCATCTTAACGAAGACAGAAACCGCCGACTGCCGACACCTCCGGCGCATGCACGGCGGTGGTGTTGCAGAAAAAAGCCCCAACTGAAATCAAAATAAAGCATTTGATTATTATTAAGAAGAATTCTTATTCTTTATATACCTTTTTTATTGTTATTTATCTAGTAGATTTCGCCGCGTCTTCCTTCCTTCTGCCTGTCTGCCCTCAGGAGATACACACTTGTAAGGTCTTAGGAGCTCGCGGCGAAGAAACCTGCAACAGAACAACAAATTAAATACAGAGAAGAAGGAAGAATATAAAGATAAGACAGCAAAGCAAAGACAACAACAACACCTGCGTATACAGCTCAGATCTCCCTCCACCCCAGCCATACGATGGAGGTCTTGCAGACAGCCGCTTTTACCTCGATATAATTAAAATGATAGGCAGGGCGATCTTCAGCCCTCGACAGCTCTTCTCCGGGTGTACATCCACCTGCGGGTTGTCCACCATTCGATATCCACGTGGAAGCTGCCGCAGTGTTGCTGTTAGAACAACAGCAGCAGCAGCAACAGCAGCCAGTGCTGCTACTGCTGCAACTTCCCCAACCTGCAGCAGCTTATTGAGGAAGCCGGCGAGACGTAGACTTTTTCTGTTTGATAAAACACAGCCAAATGTCTTTGTGAGATCAGACGGGGTTTGTTGCGTCTCGCCTGTTGAGGAATACTATGCATCTTCATCGGCTTGCAGTTCAAGTAGCGGTTTCTATGATGCAAGGTGTACATACACCTCAAATTCTAGACAATTTAATGTTCAGTGTAACGGCTGTTCTCGCAGTCTATCAATTAAGGGTTTAAATGGAGACCATGCTGCGGCGCTGCATCGTTGGGGTGTACGTACAGGGGGTTTTTTATTTGGCTGTCGTTTTCTTTCGACTTCTTGCGAAACTTCAGGCCTTCATATGATTTCGGGAAAGGGTTTTTCTGCTTATAAAGTGTTCGTTACTTGGGGAAATCGTAGATTAGAGTTTTATGTCTGCGGTTTAGACCCTGACAGCGGCGGTGTGTCTAAAGAAGTTTCATCATCATCATCATCTTCTCCTTCTTCTTCTTCATCTTCTTCTTTTTCTTGCCTCTCTGCTGTATCTGCAGCTAAGGTGCTGCAGCCTGATATCGTGATGGTTGGCTTAGGGTATTTAGACCGGGAGAAGATGTTTGAGACATTTTCAGTAGAGAAGTTGTTGCGATGTCGTCAGCCTGAAGCTGTAGAAGTTGTGATTAAAAGAGACAATGGTCAATTCATTCCTTTAATGCAATTTCTTATTCTTAAAAATATTCAATATTACCTCGTAGGCAGAGATAGACTCGTAGAGATGGGAGCGCTGGGGCGTGAACTGCTCTGGAGGCCTGGAGAAATATATTATTTATTTTTTAGTTTGTTAAAAAGTAAAAAACAAAAAGAAAATAAACTTACTCCGTCTCTTAACAGAGTACTTGCAGAAGAGGGCTCTCGATTCACAACACTCAAGATACACCAGCTGCTCTTACAGTGGTTTTCACAAGATAAAACTGCCGATACACCTGAACCGGAACACGTACGCCTTATGAATTGTATTTTATAATTGATTGAATAATTAATTATCTCAGAGACAATTCGATATACACACCTGCAACAACAGAGAAAGAAGCAGCAGAAAGACAGTTTATCGTTTTTTAATTGCTTCTGTCTTCATCTGCATTTCTTTTGTTCGTCTTTCTCTTTATAACTCACAGGCTTTTGTTTGTTTTTCTGCTACATTTTCAGGAATTCAGAGAGCAGACTTTCATCAACAAGTGGGCAATAGGGCGAAGTGAAAGGGAATGTGCATTGCTGCTTCGTGCACAACAATTAGAGAAGACAAAACCACCTCTATCAGATGCTCTCAGGGAGAAGAAGAATATGAAGATTCTTTTAGTCTGTGATGTAGCTATGCAGAGGAGGCTTGCGGAGCGCCTTCAGACTGAGTTGAACGGCTGCTTGAGGGGGAATAAGGAACCCCTTTATAAAGAAATGATGCAGCTGCAGGACACAAGCTCAACACGATTTCATCTCTGCTTAATGATTTACTTCATCCTCCCAGTAGCTACACTTTGTCGCTTCCTTTGGAAACGTGCAAAGAAAGCCTATCTCCAATATGCCGTTGTTGGTGAGCCTGTAAAATAGATATATCCTTTATATTATTTATAGATGCTCTAGATACTAATATATCATTACTTAATACTCTAGATACTAATATATCATTGCTTAATACTTTAGAACCTTCTCTTATAATAGTAAAAAAAAACTTAATTTTGTTTACAAAAAAGCTTTTATGTGAAATAATAAAGAAAGTTCAAATGTAGTTGAATATAAAAACTTGAATAAATAATTTCATAAATTTAAAAATGAAGTGAAGGCCGTAGTTGTGAAATACTTTAAAATGCATAAGTCTTTGAATTTCAAGAATTCAACAGCCGCACCGCGATCTTCGTTTATGTTAATTCTTTTGATGAAATTCCCTGAACAGTTTGAAAGTACTTGCTTTTCTATAAAGGGTTTACCGAATGATCGTTGATTTTCAGCGCTTTCTCTCCTTAAACTGTTGTCTTTTTCTGCTGCGCTCAGGCACTACTGTAACCGTCGGCGGAGATGAAGTGCTGTCGCGCTTGAGAAGCGGAGTAGAGGAGGAAACAGAAGAAGGAAATAAAGAAAAACCAAATGCAAAGGACAAATTGGAGATCGTAGAGTCCAGATGGTTGGGCTTTAAACATGTCGTCCGAGATACTTCAAGAGATTAATTTTTCAGGTGTACGTTCAGGTGTATGTACACCCGAACGAACAGAAGACGAAACCTGAAAGCAATCTTGAGGCAGATAGCTTTAAGAGCTGTCGGTTTCCTCAGCTTTCACTCCTGCAGGGTATATATAATTGAAAGGAAATGAAATAGCTGCTGCTTCTGACAGCCTCTCCTTCCTAGGAAAGAGAGAAAAAGAGAGGCTTCTCTCTCGATGCAGCAACTGCGTAAACCTTGCAGCGCATCTTTAAGCGAACCGTTTTAAGTCTTTTTTTAGCTGTTATAAACAGAATACGTCAATTTAAAGACAAGGAGGGAGAAATGTTTGAACAAATTAAGGGCTGATCTGTTTTAAACAAGAAAAAGAAGATTCCGCTTCGTAGTAAAACGAACGCCTCGCACCATTTGAGGCACACACTGCGGCTCTGCAGCTCCCTTAGGGTTTAGGGTTTAGGGTTTAGGGTTTTTCACTGTACAAGAGCAACGCGTTCAAGCATTGCTGAAGCTTGACGTATAATCACCGCTTCGGTTGTTGGCCACCATATTCCGATCTGCTATTAATGAGCCAGCAGAACTTAGCTGAATTCATCTTAACTTAGTTGAATTTATTCTAAGTTAGTTAGTTAAATTCATGTTAAGTTAGTTGAATTCATTTTAGCTGAGTTGAATGCATCTTTAAGTCAGTTGAATTCACTTTAACTTAGTTGCATTCATCTCTAAATTAGTTTAGTTTAAGTTAATTGAATTTATTTTAATGTTTTTCTTCTTTCTTGTGAGGGTCATCCGGCAGAGGCTCCGACAGATGAACCTGCAGAAGCGCACCAACCACCAACACCATGCATATATATAATATATATACATATATATATATACATATATATATATGAAGTATATTTGCAGCTCAAGTGAGGAAGCAAACGCATATTAGTATTGAATTAAATATTTGTTTTGAAATATTTTGTTTTATTATTTGTAAAAAGTTTACCTCTAAAGTGCCGGGCGTAGAGACTCTGTTGAATTGTCTGAAGACGAAGGGGTATTGAATTCCAGTGTATGTATTGATGAGATAATTTTCTCTTAATTTAAAAAGAAAATCTTTTATTTCGCTCAAACTAAACGGATGATCCAACCCTCTATAGAAATATCGAGCTTCAAACGTCATTAAACTTATCTTCAATGCCGGCCTCTTGCCTGGGTTGTGAAATGCAGACAAAACGCGAAACTTCGCTGTAGCACAAACAAAATACAAACAACAAATAAATATATATAAAGTATATATATTAATGCACGCACACATATATACATATACATAATATATATATATAATGTATATATAATATACATATATTTACTGATTATTCACGTGAAAATTATAAATATATTATCGATATAATATGTTAAATAATATATGCTAATTATAAAAAAGATGCATAGAACAAGACTGCTGTCGGTATATGATATATACATATACATATATATATATATATATATATATGTATATACATTTCTGTGTTTGCGCATATATATATATATATAATGTAAAACGCTTCAATTCGTAGCTAAATTCGCAACAAGAAATAAAGAAAGAAAAACAAAACAAAACGAAGAGAAGCGGCCGCTGCAGTACGAACACCCACTGTGCATTACACCAACTGCTTAATTAATTGCTTAATTAATTTAATTAATTTAATTAATTAATTAAACAGGGAATATCAATTAAATGTCGTTTAAATATAAAATATAAAAAGAAGAAAACCTACGCGAATTCAACCAATAACGATCCAGACGCTCTTTAGGCGGTGGATCTGCAGTGAAGAGAAACAAACAAATAAATAAAACAATATTATTATTATAATATATTATGATTTATTATTTATTATTTATTATTATTATGATTTATTATTATTATTATAAGATTAATAATTATTATTATTACTGTTTTTATTATTTGAAAAACAAACAGTCTGACTTTACTTCGCTGTCTTTCTTGATAGTTCGCTGGAGATACACCAAAGGCTGTCTTATGAATATAAACAATAAACATGAAAATCTTATAATTACAGATATACGTAAATAAATAAATATATATATATACAGCATATTACAGTATATTATATAGAATAGATAAATATATATTCTACACTGTATTACATACGAAGGCTGTATTATTATGATGAACATAAACAATAAACACGTAGATGTTATAATTACAGATATAGGTATATATATATTAGATATAATTGTATATATATATATATATATGCATATAACATTCCTATAGTATAGCATAGTATAGGATATTTGATATATACAACAAAAATGTTGAGGGATATACTCAATCGAATAAATATGAAGTATAATAGATAATAGATAATATAAAATATAGAATATATGATATACGATACATAGCCTATATAGTATAACAACTCAGCCTTATATATACAATATAACAACTCAAAGCAAACCAACAAGTAGTAGCAATAAAGGCAGCAACAGCCAGCAATGAATGAGAAAAAGATGATGAAAATTAATAAAACCAAGTAAAAGAGTATGCAAATAATAGCGCTAACAATGCATGCATAATTCTGAGGTGAATATAACGGCATCAATTACAAAGTATAATGAAGTATTCGCCTTTAAAGCCTTACCGAAGACACGACTCCACCAGAGAAATGCAGCAAATGCTGCAGCAGACGTCCAGGCATTTCCAAAGAAGAAAAAACTTCGATTAGCAAATTGAGCCTCCCAGAATTGCTTTAGAAGTGGCTGACGAAGATAATTAGGAGGCTCAATCACCCATAGTGGTTTTATTATTTCATTAAACTGTATATTTCTTTCTAAAGGCTTTAAAGCCGCACCTCCTGCTGCCTTCGTATTTGCTGAATATAATGCAAACGAACGACGCAATGCACCCAAACGAAACGAAGAAGCAAACATCTTCCTTGCTGCTCCTGCCACTCCTACTGCTGCTGCTGCTGCTGCTGGTGTTGCTGCTGCAGTTAGGCTGTGTAAGGAGACATAGGGCAAGAAAGAAATGAGAATATAACAAGAAGTTGGAGAGGGTTTGAAGGGGAGGAGCAGAGCGAAGAAGCGAGAGAGTCAGACACGGTCTGAGGCGGCGGAGGAAAAAAGAAGAAAAAGACAGATAATTTGCCGACCACAACGAAGAGGTAATTATAGCCTCTTAGAGGCCTCTCTTCATTCTCCTTGATCACTATCGCTTCTTCTTTCTATATTTTATGATATTTTCCAGTTGCTCAACTCTTTAAAACGCACAACCCTAGTTTCGCTGCCATACCCTCCACGGGGGCTGCAACACACGGGGCTGCTGCCTCTCTTCTCCCCTCGCTGGCAGGCAGAGGAGCGATCGCCTGAAGGATGATGTTGGTGAACAACTTGCAATTCAAAACAAATAAACTGCGAAAAACAAGCTTTTTAAATTGTTCATTTGCATTCTGCTCTCCTTCACTCGCAAACGCCAGCTTCCTTTCTGTACGTACACCACAATGCCGCTCTGCCAGATCGTGTGCAACGTTGATTTCGACAAGGCAACTGCGAATGCCTTCCTCTCTGATGTGGAAAAAGGTAAATAATTCGAAAAGTAGCATTTATATTAATATGGGTTGGTAATTTCTTCACTTTTTCGTTGTTTGTGCACCAAGAACGACGCAGGATATCAAAAATTAGCAGAGAAAGGGTCGGGGTGTGTGGTGAAGTGTACTGTGGAGTATGACGGGATTTTCACCTTTTTTCTGCGCGTTTTTTTCTCTTAATTTGAGTTATTACTGTTTTTTATTCTTTTGTATGCGTATTCTGCCTCAGGATTGAGCAAGCTCCTCGGAAAACCCGTTCAGTACATCAATGTTAGCTTGACACGGGGGGAGATGCGCCATGGAGGCAGCAACGAGCCTGCTGCCAGCGTCTGTGTGAATTCAATTGGGAATATTACGACCGAAACAAACAATAAAATTTGCGTCGAGTTGGTGACTTTCTGCCAGAACCACCTGAAGATTCCCGTAGACCGCGTGTAGGTGTTTTATTTAAAGTAGAAATAGAGAGAAATAATTCAAATTGAAGTCCCCTTGGGGGAGGAGGAGGCGTCCTCATCCTCCTCTTTAGGTCTCAGCTCGTCTCTTTCTTTGTATATCAAAATTTGATGATGTTTCATATATTTAAGAGTATTGAGGTGTATGTACAGCTGCATTATTGTGTTTGTTGTTTTTCTTTTTTCAGGTTTTTCTGCTTCAGTGATATGGATGCCGCAAACGTCGGCATTGGGTCTCGCGTTTTCGCCTAAATATAAAGACAGTTAAAGAACTGCATCAATGTATGAATAGAGAAATGCAAAGAAAGAAGTTAGTTGTTCTTGTTCCGCCTGTTTTGTTTTGTTTATTTTAAATAGTTTGTTTTACTGCTTTAATTCTTCAGTTTATTTCAATTTGCAATTCGAGTCGAATTGCCCTCCGGCCATCGTTTGATAAACTCAAAAAGAGGAGAACGATTTTAAGCCGTTGTTAGTTGTTTATTAGATTTCGTCAATATTATTATTGTTTATTATTATTATTATTAGTATTTATCAATATTATTTATTAGTATTATTAACATTTATTAGCATTAGTTGTATTGCTGACTTCTTTAAACTTAGGCGTCCGCCCATTCATTAGATTCAGCTGCACGTACACCTGGCGACGAGAACAGGAAGGCTTTAATAAATAGATAATTTATTAGTAAAAATATATGCAGCAGACAAAAAAAACAGTAGAGAGATAAAGCCCACAGCTATACAACGGCTAAGGAACGAAGTAGATTGAGTCTGTATGAATAACTAAGGCAAAGTAAATATTTATTAGAGAGCAAATCTAAACAATATTTGTATTAAAATGCAATTCTAAATAATATTCGCGCTTGACGGCTTCACTCAGACAACTCCTATAGGATATGCATGCATACATATAAAAACAGAATATATATATATACATATATATATATACAGCTGCAACGTGTTTAAGACGTTGTAAGCAGACGAATGAAGACGGATGATGAAATCAAACAAATTTTTTACTCGTCTCTAAACGAATCTATATATATATATGTATATTATAATATCCAATATATACATATCTGTCTATCTATATATACATAATAGATGTATATATAATATATATTCAGCAGCTTTGGTGTATCTACGCGGCAGTAAAAATAAATACAATTAGGCTAAGGACTTGTCTTGGGTTTTGTTTGAAAACAAACAAAGTTGCAGCTGCTATTAATGAAAAGATTAATAGACGATAAAAGAAGAAGACAAACATAGTTTTAAAAGCGATGGGGTGTACGGATAAATAAAAGAGTTAATTAAAAAGACGAAAGAGAAAATTAACAGAAAAGGAGAGCAACAACTGTTTGATGCAGCAAACAGATGTATGAAATCTATACTTGCTGCTGTTTAGGGTTTAGGGTTTAGGGTTTAGGGTTTGTTGCTTCGCGTTGTTTGCACTGTTAACTCAGCGCAGCCCCTCTTCATCTTCATTTACATCCTTCTCGTTTAGACATTTATATATTTTGTTTATTTTATTTGTTTTTCTTTATTTTGTTTTATTTTGTTGTTTTGTTTGCTTCATTAATCGCCGCTGTTTTGCTTTTGTTGTTTTAATGCATTTTATTATTTTATTTTTTACTTTCTTCACGTTGTCTCTGTTCTACTTCAAAGAAACCAAAGCCAAACAAAACCCCGCAGCAAATGCAGCAGCAGCAGCAGCAGCAGCAGCAGGACTAAAAAGTACTGCTGCTCTTATTCTTCGTTGCTGCTGCTGCTGCTTGCAGCTGCTTCATCCTCACAGCAACTCCATGCTGTCTTCATCAAAGGCTGGGGGCGCCAAACGAGGAATCTGAAAACAGCAGCAACAGCAGCAACAGCAGCAGCAACAGCAGCAGCAGCAGCAGCACACAAAGCAGCAGTAGCAGCACATTACACACGAGAAGCAACAAAATTAACAACCCTTGAAACAACACTACCAACAACAAAAGAATCAGCAGCAGCAGCAGCAACAGCAGCGCATTCAGCTGCAGCTACAGCGCTTGTAGCAGCAGCAGCAGCAGCAGCAACTACAGTGTTTGTAGCAGCAGCAGTAGCAGCAACAGCATCAGCAGCGCATGCAGCAGCAGCTACAGCACTTCTAGCAGCACATGCAGCAGCAACAGCAGCAGCGTCGAGAGTGAAGAATATTGCAGCAAAAATAGAGTGAAGTGAAGCGGATCTCACAGCAGCGCTGGCGTCTGTTTGCTGATTATTTCGGTTGCTTCGGTTGCAGAGAGACGGCGCACTGGAGCTGAAGTTGTTGTTATTAATATTATTATTAATATTATTATTTATATTATTATTATCTTCGCTATCAACAACCACAGGCCGGGGCTGCGCTCCTCGCTGCGAGTAATTTAACAACCCTGGGGCTTCTTCTTCGTTATCTTCCTGCAGAAATAAATAAAAATAGATAAATAAAGTATTTATAATTAATTAAATATATATTGTTCAAAATAAACACAAATACGCAATCTCAACTGTACAACTGACACCTCAAGAAATCAAATTCTACTTTCTTCTTCTTCTCACTGTACTTCTGCTGCATCAATTGCATAAATAAATAAATATATATATACATAAATAAATAAATAAATAAATAAATAAATAAATAAATAAATTCGTACATACACACATACATATATACATACAAACAGACATACATAAATACAGAAACAACTGCATGAATAAGTAAACAGATGAATAACTTAATAAATAAACAAACAAATAAACAAATAAACAAACAAATAAACAAATAAACAAATAAGCAAATAAACAAACAAACAAATAAATAAATAAATAAATAAGTTAAGAATCACCTGCTCTGCATCAATAAAACTTAACTCCGGCTCGTACTTTGATGTGCCGCGCATGCGGCCTGACAATTCTTCTCCTGCATTCTTTTTATTATTTTCATTACGATCTTCTTCCCACGCAGCTGGTGCACTACCGACAATTGCATATGATACGTTCGCAAAGGTATCGAAGCCTTCAAACAAAACATTAATCAAACAATAATCATTATAATTATTATTATTATTTATTTTTATTATTATTATTATTATTATTTTTATTATTAATATTTGTGGTGAAAATAATACTAACAATCATAATCATAATCATAACATTAATAATAACAATAATAATCATAATAACAACAATAATAATAATAATAATAATATTAATAATAATAATAATACTAGCAATAATAATAATAATAATAGTAATAATAATAGTAATAATAGGAATAATAATAATAATAATAATAATATTATTAATGATGGTGATGATGATGATGATAATAATAATAATAATTACGACAAAGAAAACACACAAAACAAATCCATGCAACCCTCTTCATATCATATAACCAACAAATATGAACAAAGTACTACGCTATATATATATATATATATATGTATATATATATAATATTATATAGATATAGAT